GATGGATGGATGGATGGATGGATGGATGGATGGATGGATGGATGGATTGGTGGATGGATGGATGGATTGGTGGATAGATGGACGGATGGATGGATCGATGGATGGCCCCTTAGCATCAAAGAACATGAGTCAGATCCTTTATTAATGTAACAGTACAAACCAGAGAACATGAGCTGCTGTCACAGCCACAAGTCGTGATGGACCTGATTTTACCCGAGCTACCTACCCCTCACGGTGCTCACTGTCCTCCACAACTTCCACTCTTCCTCTCTCTCACACATACACACCTTTCACAAATCTAGCTTCCCCTCCCCTTTCGAACCTGGACCAATAACCCTTTAAGGCACATATATTACAATATGTCTGATATAAGTTGTTAGAAATAAGTTACTCATATGATGCATGACTGTCCAGCTGGTGTCAGACCCATGTTAACTTATGAGTAAGTATGTACCGTAATAAAATTCTGTAGCTAGTACATTTTTGGTGGACATCAGCGCACAAAAACCTACACCATCGTATAAGCATGCTGGTAACTTATTCAAAACTTACTCCTAACTTATGCAACTTACACAAACATGTTTGCCTTTTTTCCCCCCATACATTAACATACGATGATGCTCTACACCACTGTGCAACTGCCCCTAAAAATATTTTGCTAACAGACAGAAAACAATAAATCCACTCAGACACAGGCAAAACATGTTTGCTTCCAGAAGCAGAACATTGTATTAAAAATATCACATGAGTGTAATGTTAATATGTTGCTTATTGTTGATGGACAGGCTGTAAAAATACTCACAACTTTAATGACAAAACCAGAGTCCTCTGGAACAGGTCTGTCTACGTCCTGGGAGGCTTTCAAATCATAAAAGATAAGAAGTTATGGACAAGAAACAAAGTTTTAACACATTCTGTTTCTATTACTCACTTATGTTTTTTTAAAAGGAACCAGAAGGAAATGTTTAAAATATAGTACTCTGATATCTATGTATTTATCTGATATGTGTGTATTTACCAAGATAAATGAGTCCACAGCCACCCTGACCCGTCAGTTTTCCCAGCCTCCATTTCTGCTTCTCAGTGTCCGTCAGGATGAAGCTTTCAGGGAGGGGTTTGGGTAAAGTTTTCTTTTTCGGTGGTGCCATAACTTCCGAGTCTATTTCCAAAAAATAAAACGAGATTTACAAGATACATCTTTCGTTTTTTTTTTTTCATACTTCTGTGGTAAAACGTAGGTACACTCTTTCACTTTGAAGGTTTTACATGTGAAATCATGATTAGTTCTCAGCAAGTACAGCCTACAATCATTAACAAGGAAAAAGAAATTCCATCAAGCCTTTATTTTCTGCAAATGCAGAGTTCCTACAAGGAGCTACAAGGAGCAGATGTCACAGAGATGCAGGACTTCAAGTACTTTGGGTCAATTGTCCAGGAAAATGGGGAGTGTGGTAATGAGGTGAAGAAGAGAATCCAGGCAGGATGGAGTGGATGGAGAAAAGACTCAGGAGTGAGTTGTGACAATACGGTGGCTATGTTGTATGGTCTGGAGACAGAGACATGGACAAAAAGACAGGAGAAAGAACTGGAAGTGGCAGCAATGAAGATGTTGACGTTCTCTTTAGGAGAGACAAAGATTAATAAGATTAGGAATGAGATCATCAGAGGTACAGCACAGGTTGAACAACTGGGAGATAAAGTTAGAGGACAGACTGAGACGGTTTGGACATGTCCAGAAGAGGGACAGTGGTTTGGACATGTCCATGGAGGTAGTTGAAATGTGGATGGAGGATGCAGAGGACGGAGTGAGATGGAGGAGGATGACTCACTGGAAAAGTGAATAACAAAAATGGATGGGCAGACATTATATATTACCTTACATCATTAGTTACATTATTTATACAGGTTAGTCTCATTGAGTCTTGAGGACGAGGAACAGACAACAATAGACAATCACATAAAATGAAAAGTAAATAGAGGAAATTATATAAGAATTAAACAAAAACAACTACATTATAAACCATGAAGTTAAAGTGAGTATATTACTCTTTGTATTAGTTTGTAACAGCTTAGATGGTAAATGGACTGTACTTATATAGCACCTTTCTATCTTATCAAGATACTCAAAGCTCTTTACAACAAAATCTGTGCCTCATTTACCCATTCATACAGCACTCTACTAGATCTATACAAAACTAATTGAACAAATACTTAAAGAGACTAATCAGAGTTTTATCACATTCATACACCGATGGGACACACATCGGAGGCAATGAGGGGTTCAGTGTTTTGTCCAGAGACATGTCAGCATGTGACTGCTGGTGGATTCCAACCCCCAACTCTTGCATTGGAGGACGACTGCTCTAACCACTCAGCCACAGCCGCCCTGTATGAAGTGGGTTATGTGTTGATGACTGATTGATTTTGATAATGAATGAAAAATCCTTAAGTGTAAGATCTGCAACCCAAGGAAAGAGCTTTAATAGGTGTGTATTTCTTCCTGCTCCTTTTGGACAAAAATATAATAATTATATATATATATATATACATATATATATATATATATATATATATATATATATAAGGTGGTGGTTGATGCCATGCTGCCTTCATCATCTTTTATTTTTGTTTGCAGTGCTATACAAATGATTACCAACAAATCAAAGACAAACTGTAGATTATAATAATGTACATAATAATTTAGTGATAGAGGGGAGAAAATGAATGTAAACAAAATGTTAAAGCTCCAGAGTTGCCCTCAGTCATCATCTCAACTTTCAGCTACTCTGAGACAACCCTGAGTTCTTAGACCAGAGACAGCTGTGGTCAGGTTGTTGTGACATGATAAAAATAAAAGATTCAAAATAAGCTGCCTAACTCTTACAGTAAGGTTAAAGTTGGATAAGAAGGAAAGTCCGCAGATAGCAGTGGTGCCATTTGTACTGAATAATAAACACTTGGACACCAGCTGTAAGACCCACAACAACAAGCAACAAAATAAAAACAAACATTGTAACTTACGGTAAAGTTTGTAACAACCTTCGAAAGCTGAAGAAGCCAGAAATTAATGAATCCCCTCTTTATAAATACACAAATAAAACGGTGTTTTAAAATCGTTTATCATTTAAATCGTCTGTTTTATAAAGATTTCCGTCCTGTAGGAACGGTTACCCAGCGCCATGAACAAAATAAATAAGCCCTTTTCACTTCCTAAAATTAACCCCGCCCACTACATCAAACAGCCAATCAAAATAAAGAAATGTTTGAACAACCAATAGCGTTTTGAGAATCAAAGGAGGCGGAACTAAGGAACAATCCTTGCACAATGCCAAGAGATGAGTCTTGTGACTCTGGTCATACTTCTCAGTTTTTATTCTCTACTCATCACTTTTGGTTTCCTTCTGAGGAAAAAATAAATCTGGCTGAAATTTTTGTTTTCGTTATTTGTTCAAATCCTACTAACATGTACCGCTTTGTTTAGATTTGATAAGTTTGTAACTTTTTATTGCAGTCAAGTAGCTACAGGTGATTTTCTTTTTCCTATTTAAAATATATTTTTGCCTCATGAAAGTTGGAGAATGGGATTTTAACACGTCTTTACTTTTTTTTATTTGAGGAAAGTTATACGCATATTTTTAAATAATAGATTGTACATTATTCTTTATAACTATAGCCTACTGGACATGTATGGAGAACTCAATCTTTATGGAGAGTGTGTGTAGTAAAAACATTATGTTCATATTAAAGCGTTTTGCTGCTTAGCATTCCTTGACGGACATCATGTTGTTCTCTCATGCCAGAGTTTAAGATCATTTTGTGACGAGAACTGATAAAATTAATATGATTATTATCAATCAATCTTTATTTAGACAGGTAAATCCCATTGAGCCTCGAGGACTCATTTACAAGAGACCTGATTTCAACAAAGGAAGATGACAACAATGGACAACAGCAACAACAATAAACAATTATAAAAAGTCATACTGCAGGGGTTTTTATTTTTTTTTTGTTTTTTGTTTTTTTTACAAATAGGATGGCTAAAAGGAAAAGGTAACAACAAAATAAAAACAGCTAGATTCTAAGGCGAATGTAGACAACTAAAAACAGGAACATGTCTGCATTGGTCCCTGCCAGGAGTCATTAATTATGAGGCGGGGGCACCCTGGACAGGTCTCCAGTCCATCACAGGAGCACCCTGGACAAGTCTCCCATCCATTGAAGGGACACCTGGACAGGTTTCCAGTCCATCACACTGGAACACTGTGAACAACCATTCACTCTCTCACTCTCGCACAGTGACTGCTGGACATGAGCACCAGTGACCTCTGTGATCCAAAAAGGAAGAAGTGGGTAAAGAGAATGGATGGATGGATGGATGGATGGATGGATGGATGGATGGATGGATGGATGGATGGATGGATGGATGGATGGATGGATGGATGGATGGATGGATGGATGGATGGATGGATTCATTCAACCTTTATTTATACTGGTTAATCTCACTGAACCTTGGGGGCTCATTTACAAGAGAGACCTGAATTCTAATAGAGTGAGGACAACAGTAGACAACAAAGACAATCATAAAGGATGCGTACAAATTGAGAATAACAAGTGAAAATAAAATAGTATTTAAAAAATGGATGGATGGATGGATGGATGGATGGATTAGTGATTTTAGTGTATTCATTGTACACAAGGTTCACTTAACTGTGGCAGCCATCTTTATAAATGTTGGTTCCAATCAGTTGTAAAGAAATCAGTCCAGTAATTACTTCTTTATGTTTCATTGAAATCCATGCTCATGAGATCTTATGAAGAAAAGACTTGAAATAGTTCATTTAAATGCTGTTCTGCAGCAGTCTTCTACAAATGTTAGCACTCAGAAAATGTGTCGGGGATCAGTCTCAACTACTACCACATCAAACAGGGGAAGGGGGAAGTCTAAGATTGTCATCATTGTACATGTTTCTATACAATGATGAAATTAGTTCTCTGCAATAAATCCATCACACCTGAGTTACATCCAGGTGGAGCAGTGGGCAGCTATGTAAGCGCCCGGGGAGCAGTTAAGTATTAAGTGTCTTGCTCAAGGACACCATGACGTGGGAATGGCTGGGAGTCGAACCACAATTTTCTGTTTCCAAGTCGGCTGCCCTGCCTCTACCTGCCTCTCTGGTTTCTGGTGTCACTTGGCTCTGGCAGCAAGCTTGAACAAGTTTGACTCTAAAAAATGAATTTATTGCAGCTAACCAATATTTTTTAAAAGTCAGGATAAAATCCTCCCAGTGGTTTATGAGACATTAACAGACAAAGAGGATCTGCTGCCTTAGAAAACACACAAATGGCTCTAATTCACACAGTTTTACAGATAACCTACATTTATTGCAGGTTTAGCTGGGCATCATCCTTAATATACTTTAAGTGCTACTTATTATGCAAGACCTGCGATTAAAACTTTTTCTTTGACTGCTAGAGTCAATGCTGATATTCTGTTAGCAAAATATCTCCTGCGCCACCGGACGGATTTTAGTGAAACTCTCAGAAAGTTTCTTGTTTGTTCATTAAAATCTGAACAACTTTAGGAGTCGATTCAATTCAGCTGAGCAGCATCACCTCACACAAAAAATACTCTGATTCAGTCACTTGTGCAGACACTGAGCTGGAGGTTGGTGTGGTAGTAGATGAGAATCATCCACAACAGATACTCCGAGCACATCTCACAACATTGCTTAAGATAGTGCTTTTTCTTTTCAATGTTTGACCAAAATGGCAACAACTAAATATTTTAACACAAGATGATTTTTGTTTAAACCCCCAGTACAAATTAAATCTTTTTTTTTCTTTCTTTCTTTCGGCTGTTCTCTTTTTCAGAGGTCACCAAGTGAACTAGCTCACACGAAGACTTGGCGATTGTTTTTACGCTGGATGGATCCTGACACAACCACAGACCATCGAGCTACCACAGCTCTCTGTGTGGAGCAGGGAGCTGCTATCTAGGGCGACCGGGGGAGCAGATGAAGGGGGTTAAGGGCCTTGCTCAAGGGCCCAGAGTGGGGGACATGAGGAGGCAGCTGTGGATGTTTCACCTTTATCACCAACATTTTGATGTTGTCAGTCCGAGGAGTCGAACCAGCGACCTTCCGATCACGTGCCCACCTTCTCTAACCTCTGCGCCGCCACTCCTCTAGCCCAGTTTGAATGAAAGCATGATGTCTTTAAATAATTATTCATTCTCTCCATCATAGGCCAAACTTTTGCCAGATCTACTCAGAAGAGTTGTATCCACTGAACAAACTGTTGCTGTCTGTGATGTATCGACTCACCACACGCAGCTACCGTACATCATTTGACTCTTTGTTGTAACTTGAAAAGGACTTTCCTTCCTGCCCAGATCTAACCCTCCTCTCATCTCAAGATGTCTGGTTGATCTTGTGTTGTATGTCAGCTGTGCAGCTGAGATTGTCTTTCATAAATCTAATCCATTTTTGTTTTCCTAAAGAGGACTCTACTCACAGAGATGCTCCAGTCAATAAGGGCATGTGATGTAAGTGGAAGTAATGTCGACGCTGGATTGGGCCTTTAACGTAGCTCTTGTCCACTGCTTATTTAACTTACTTACACAAATCAATAGCAGTTTGTTTTAGGAATCTGGGCGTCCCTGTTGTGACTCTGATCTTCGCTTTGCTAAACAACACGGTCAATTCGTGGAGTGGCAATCGAACACAGGCTGTAGGAGCAGGAACCGTTGCCGGTGGACACAAACTCACTCTTCGCTCTCAACTCGGCGCTCTCAATCAAGCATGTTTTATTCCAATGAAAGGAAACGTAAAACGCTCTCCTTGTTCCCGTTTGCACCTGCAGTCAGTCAATCGGTCCACTGACACCCTTGGGGCCTAATTTGAGTCTCAAGGATTCTGCAATGAAAAGCAGAAAATAAAGCATGAACGTCAGGTAGATGAAGGGAAAACCAGGAGCTGCTTCTGAGTGGAGATCAGCTCCAAGTCACGCAAGCTGTTTGAAGATCAATGAGGCAACACTTACAGTGAATGTGGTCAAATGATTGCACTGTATGGTATGGTATAAAGTTTATTCATTAAAAAAAAATACAAAACAATTCCATAACAATATAAAAAAATACAAGATATTTAAAATGAAAGGCAAGAAAAGAAGAAAAAATCTTATTATATCTGCCCCTTTTTTCAAACAATTAGTTAAATCATAATAATTTTCAAGTAACAGAACAAAATGAATAACTCTTTCTAATTTTTCTAATTCTAATATAAAAAACACACTAAGCTACTTCTTTTTTTAATAACAATTCAGCTTTGATCTTTTTCTTAAATGTACACATTGACTTGGCATTTTTCACATCACTCTCTAGACCATTCCACAATCCAACTCCTTGGATTGAGGTAGACCTTCCCTTCAGACTAGTTCTGAATTTTGGTTTGACAAATATCTCTATCCCCTTAAGATTATAACAACTTTGTCTTTTAATAAAATTTCTTTGGATATTTAATGGTAATGTGTTATTTTGAGCCCTATACATAACTGATAAAATACTGTAATCTACCAAATCATGGAACTTCAATAACTTCAGTTGATAAAATAATGTGCTTGATGGGTGACTGTAATGCTTTCTGGTGATAATTCTTACAGCTCTTTTCTGTAAAATAAAAATAGGTTTTGTAAATGTTTTTTACATGCTTTCCCCCAAACATCAATGCAATAGATTAAATGTGGAACAATGATTGTGTTATACATCATGTACAGAGCTTTATCATTTAATAATTCCCTGACTTTGTATAGTACTGCAATAGATTTAGATATTTTTGTTCTTACAGAATTTATGTGATTTTTCCATGTTAGCTGTTCATCAATGATTACACCCAAAAATTTCATCTCATTAACTCTACAAATCTCAACACCCTCAATTTTAAATGGATCATCAACAGTTCTCTTTTTGTTACTAAATATCATGTATTTAGTTTTATCTAAATTTAATGATACTTTATTAATTTTAAACCAAGTTTGTATTTTATCAAATTCTGTC